AAACCCCATATAATCTAAGAACATATTAGAAATTATTCATTCATTTATATTATTATTTTAGAAATAACCTAATGTATGCAATACACTTCCTCCTCCTATTTTCCCCATAATAAAAAAAAACCCTTTGTGGTGGCTTGGGCTAAGAGAGAGTGACTGCCCAAAGTCACTCAGCTGGCTTCCACAGCTAAGGTGGGACTTGAATTCATGGTCTCCTGCTTTGCAGCTTGGTACCTTAACCATTACACCATCTTGATTTCCTCCTATAGGCTGCAATGGGAACGAAAGGGCAGTCAATCATCAACACTCCTATTCTTTCTTGCAATAATCTTCTTGTTCTTTCCTACCATATTTAGATTTGCCTTGTTCAATCACAGAATATTTTCTGTTCTTCACTTTCCCCAGAGAGTGTATTCTTCATGCACTCCACAATATTTCTTCCACACTTTCCTAGTACCCAGAAAAAAAATGTGGTGCAAAGAGGTAACAAGAGGGTTACCTGGGCAGAGATAATTTCAAACCCCAGATATCTGATGCACTTAATCAAAAACTGATCCTGTGAAAAATCTGTTTTCCACAGGTAACACTAAGGCAAGCAATGGCAGGCTGCAGCTAAATGAGACAGTACAGTTTCATTTTCATACTCTCTGGCCCAAATGGCAGCTTTATTTTTAGGGTCCACTTACTGGGAGCTGTTAGTAGCTAACTAGAACACAGTAGCTACAATTTAAGTCATACTTAGAAATAGTATGGGCACACCATGCACGTGCGCAGAAGTGCCAAATGCTTATGGCAAAGGTAAGGACCTTGGGCAGGTGGACCCTCCGGAGCACTGTACTGGAATGGTATCTGGTGTTCCGGGAAGGCTCCGGTACACCCGTACTGGGACGTACTGCCTGCACTCAAATAGAATGAGCTCATTCGTATGAGAAGAGAAGAGAATAACACAGTTGGAAGGGACCTTGGAGGTCTTCTAGTCCAACCTTCTGCTTAGGCAGGAAACCCTATACCACTTCAGACAAATGATTATCCAACATCTTCTTACAGACTTCCAGTGTTGGGGCATCCACAACTTCTGGAAGCAAGGTGTTCCACTGATTAATTGTTCTAACTGTCAGGAAATATATCCTCAGTTCTAAGTTGCTTCTATCCTTGATTAGTTTCCACCATTGCTTCTTGTTCTACCTTCAGGTGCTTTGGAGAATAGTTTGACTCCCTCTTCTTTGTGGCAACCCCTGAAATATTGGAACACTGCTATCAGTGTTTCCTTCTTTTCATTAAACTAGACATACACAGTTCCTGCAATCATTCTTCATATGTTTTAGCCTCCAGTCCAGTGGTGGGTTCCAGATTCCATTCCAACCGGTACTGGTGTCACCCACATGGACGTGCGCTGGGTGCATGCATCATGCTTGCCTGCGACGCTTCTGCAAGCCTCCGCAACGCTCCAGCTGCTTGGCAGAGTGTCGGCCAGGCGCCGTACGCGGCATGCACATGCGCAGAGGTGCATAATGCTTAAAGCAAAGGTAAGGAGCTCAGGTGGGTGGGTGGGCCCTCCAGAGTACCATACCGGAACGGTATCCGGTGCTCCGGGCAGGCTCCGATACACCCGTACTGGGCCCTACCATCTGCAACCCACCACTGCTCCAGTCCCCTAATCATCTTTATTGCTCTTCTCTGCACTCTTTCTATTATCTCAACATCTTTTTTACATCATGGTGACCAAAACTGAATGCAGTATTGCAAATGTGGCCTTACCAAGGCATTATAAAGTGGTATTAACACTTCACATGATCTTGATTCTTTTCCTTTGTACTTATATTGTTCAAGTCACTGGGAAAACATATTTTGCTACCATTTGACCAACATCTATATAATCTATTGCAACTCCTTATATTTTTCCATTCAGTTAAGGTGTACAGCCTTTTTCACTGGCTCAAAATATGAAATGTTCTTGATTATGCAGCTACTATAAATCTGATAATAAATTACGATTCAGTTTGAATTTGTACTTTGATGCAAAGAGTAGATTTGATTCAAATTTGCAATCTGATGAATGTGATTCAATTCAAGGGCCTATGTGCCTGTGCAGAAGTCCATCAGGTTTTCTGAATGACTGAAAAACAGTGAATAGAGCTGATTTGATTATTCAGTTCAAAGAGGTAATTTTATGAAATCATCTTAAAATCACATATTTCAATGAAAGCTTTGCACAAACTTAGCAATTAGTCACCTCCAGATGAGTTGGATAGCACACAAACTTAATAAATAAACATGACCTGACAAATGCGTGCACGACAATAGAGTGCTGACAAAACCGCGGCGAGAGAACCGCGATGTCATAAATGCTCCCACAACAGCACGCCGACAAAACCGTGCCCACAAAAGCGTGATTTAAGTTAAGGTAAGGGTTAGGGTTAGGGTTATCAGTGCGATTTCGACCTCGCGGTTTTCTCGCCACGGTTTCATCGGCGCGCTTTTGTCGAGCGTGCATTTGTCAGTGAACCATAAATAAATACTTATGCTAGACATTGATAAATAATTTACTTCGGTTACTATTCACCAAGTATCATTCCTGTACAATATAAGTCTATTTTAAATTATGGGATGGTAACAACAGCAGTGCCTGTGATCAATAATTTTATAAAACTCTAATGAGATGTATTTATTCAAGTAAATTCAGCTTATTTATTAAACAGAACTTTTTTATTTTTCTTTAAAAAAAAAACCACAAATATGTCATCATTTGTCAATCATTAAGACATTGAAGTACAATTTTTTTTGTGTGTGTGTACCCCTCCCTCCCTCCCCCCCCCCCCCCC